GTTGCGATGCTTGGTTCGCCACACGCGTGGTTTGCTTGGTTCTATCATATGTTTACTTATTTTTAACCACACACTCGCTGTTGCGTCAGCGGATTCTTCGGTTTGGGCCAAGGGCTTGCGCCAAGCTGAGGTGTGCCTCTCTCTCGCGCGCAGGGCTCCAGTGTTCGGACATTCCTGCGGTCGCTCGTTCTTCGAACGTTGGCCTTTGTCCAGGGACATTGATTTCCACCCGTTAACACGAACTTTTCTTTATTCATTGGTCGACCGGTCAGTCGGTCAGCGCGGCTGATAGTTGCTGATTCACACTGATCAATACTCCCCCCCTTTCGTCTAACCGCTAAGGCATGCAAAACATGAGAGTACGCCCCCCCCCCCTAAGGCAAGGGCTAGACAACCCACAAAGTGGGTTAAGGTTGCAAAGGAAGTATGAACGAGTTCGACATNCTGCTGTGCTTCGCCAGTGGATCATCACGGTCAGGGAGGGAAAGGTAAATCAGTCTTTGTCGTTTTTTTTTTTGCTAAATTGCTCACCACACGGCACTACGTGCAGTAGTTCGATGCCTGTAGCGCTCCAACTCCCCAGTCCTCACGGTGGTGTGCTTGGAGAGAGAGGTCCGCCAACCGCGCTTGCACACGAGCACGATTCTTCTCGAGTGTAGCTTGCCTTAGTATTGTTGGTGTTTGTTCTGTTTGTTGACATCCCATGATTCAATGTGCGTGCAGCGTCATTCCCTCTCGCCCATGAATGAAGCGTTCGCGCGGTTCATATCCGTGAGAGAAACACATGCACACACCGGCGGATGAAGTTTTTTTTTTGTTTGTTTCGTGTTTTTTTCATGAACAAAAATAAGGTAAAATATTCGCCGTGGAAGGAAGAAGAACACACGCACACAACACACAAAACATACAGTACACGCCGTTGTCTACATGTTGCAGGACTTGACGCGGGGCGAGGCGAACGACTTCTTCCGGAAGATGAGCCCTGTCTGCGAGCTGACGCTTGGTTCGCAGGGCCCCTTCTCGACGGGCGTGAAGCTCAACACCACCCAGCCCTGCTGGGACGACTCGATAGAGTTCGACGCCGCCGCCGCCGCCGCTTCCTTACTGCTGTCGCCATCCCGCCGGTCGAAGGTAGATGCGTCTGCTGTGGGTTGCCGGGGGTTGTTTGTGCACAGACGCTTGGGGGGTGTATGCGTGGATAGGGTGTTCGTTCTCCGATTTTGTCAGTTTCGTCGTTACGGACATCCACAACCTTCGATCGCCTTGAGGAGAAGGAAAAATCAATCTTGCGCTGCCTGCTGCTTCTGCTGCTGCTGCTGCTGCTGCTGTTGCTCGTGCTGCTGCTGCTGCTGCTGCTGCTGCTGCTGCTGCTGCCGCTTGTGTTGCACGCGCCCTGGGCCTGTGCACTCGCCGTGCGAAGACCAAGCCGCCTTCCTCAGCGGTCGGTGAGGGCGACAGCGAGAACAATGAAGACGATGACCTGCGGCTGCCTACGGTGGGACCGAAGCTCAAGGTGTTCTGCTACAGCAGGGGAAGCCCCGCTAAGGGTGCAGCCTCCGGTACGTTCGTGTGGACATGCATGCTCTCTCGTGGCGGTGGCGGTGGCGGTGGTGGTGGGGTGGAAGGCAGCGTAGACGCTTGCGTTGTTGCTGTTGTTGTTGTTGTTGTTGTTGTTGTTGTTGTTGTTGGTGGTGTTGTTGTTGTTGTTGTTATTGTTTTATTTGGATGCTTAGACGTACAGACATAAGATACCGTCCCGAGCTTATAGTAGATGGTAAATGGTTGATACGTAAGTGTCGCGATGCTGCTGTGACTTTTTCTAGCGTGTTTGATGACGCTCGGCGGTGCACGCCGGCACACGTCGATACCTCCTTGATCGCCGTCCTTGGTGCAATGCTGCTGCTGCTGCTGCTGCGTATTGCCACAAACACGCCTGCGGACGAGCAGCTCCGGCGGGGGGCTGTGGCGTACCGCTAGGGGGGGAGGAGGGGTGTCGGAAAGAGACGGAGAAGGTGGAGATCGGCAGGGCGCACGTGACGCTGGTCGCCGACGGCGTCGGCGGGGCCGGCAACCATACCAGAGTGCGGATTCCCCTCTTGCGCATCAACGCCGTCGTGAGTGCGGCGTGATTTTGGTGGGAGACGGCTCTTGCCTAGACGAATCGGCAAGGGCGGTGGTGGTGATAGTGTTATTAGCGACGTGGTGATTGTCTGCCTTTTGGGAGGGAGAACACTTGTGTGTGTCGAGACGTTGCTCGATACGTGCTCAATGCGTGTGCATGCGAGTCCCAACCGCGTGAGCTTCGTTTATTTTTTGTTTCTTGTCCCGTTGTTCACGAGGACACATCCACGTATTTGCAATGCATCTGGTGGCACATTGAAACGGAGAGGCTTCCACACCGTCACCACCAAGCAGAATGAGTGCGCCGCTGCTAGGTGCGGTGTCTTCTGCTGCTGTCCTTGGTTTTCCCTCCGTATCCCTGAAATGGTTATCCTCCCCTCCCCCTCTCAAGGACGATGGTCAGCGTCGGCTTCATCCCTGTGGAACGTCGCCTGGGCCAGCGTTACTCCGGCATATCGCTCCGTCCCGGCGTTGGGTGTGTCGTCTATCGACTACGGCATGCGTTTACTTGAGTACACCCCCCTCCCCGCGCACCGCCTCGTGTTGGGTTCGATTTTTCAGGGCTACCAGGTCCCCGCGGGAAGCGTGATATTGGAGTACATGCTGGTCCCGGTAAGGAAAACCGTGTATATGCAGGCGTATTTCTCATGTATGTGAAGGGATTGCCTTGCGTGTTCTAGGCTTGTTTTTGGCACGCCCGTGCACAATGCGAAAAAGGCAAGAAACATAAAGCTGCAATGTCCTCTAGAACTGTACGGCGGTGGTGCCGATAGGAGCCACGTCGACCTCTGCTGATGCAGTTGTCGCTTTGTTTATGAATGACCTGACTTTGTTTATGAAAATTCCTGAGGGAGTTCGACTCCTCCCGGCGCGAACGTGTGTCGGTTGTTTCTTTCCGTGTGTTGCGTGGTTTAGTTCACCCGAAGTGTTCCGTGCACGGTGTCGAGCGGTAAATTTCGACAACATTGGTGTGGTATGGTACGATAGCTCGTTCTGGGTTGCTCTCGCTGCTGGTCGCGATTCGATTGATGCCAGGCGAAAAGCAGCCATTGCTACTGCTGCTACTGCTGCTGTTTCATCGGGTGTCGATTACCCGAATGTCACCCCAAGCAACAAATGTCGCCCCCCTCCCCGCCCCAACCCCCATGCTTTGGCTTGAACCCCCGCGCCTTGGTTTATTTTCGCGACTCACGCATTCTTGTTTATCACATGTATTTTCCACCAAGTGCCCAACAACGTTTTTTTGTTTTCACCTTTCACCGGGTGTTCGGACAGGGAATTCCGCAACCAGTGGCGCCTGTGTCGACAGAGACGGAAGGGTCGCTTTCGGGGTTGGCTGCGCGTACGACAGCCCCCTTCCGTGAGGACGGGGGTAACGGCGGCAGTCGAGGCGGGGTCGGGTCGTGTAGCATGGACGAGCTCAAGAAGCCGGCGCGGAAGGTTAGTCACGTCCTGCGTATGTGCGTCTGTTTGATTGGCATCGACCGCGATAACCAGCTGACCAATGAAAAGACGTCAGTCTCAGTGCGGTGGAAAAACACAAAATGTTTCTATAGGCCACTATCTGGGACTCCTGTGACCGAGCATCATGGGGGAGTCTACGCTACTCTCTGGATTAAAGTGTGTGTGCGTCTTTTGTTGTTAGCACCGACCGCGCTGACCGATGGAAACACGCGAGCGTGAGGACACTAGTCCCTGTCAGAGACAGAGGCCGGTGCTCTGGCAGTATTCTCCCACTGCCAAGGGTGGCTATTTCCTTTCGTGAGATGTAACGAGGAGAGAGGTAGAAAAAGAGTGACCAGAGGGTCGAGAGGGGCGAGCCGGAGGCTCCCTCATCTCTTCCCCCGGCAAGCGGCCATGGACTTTGGAAGAGACAAATCTCCTCGGTGCTTTACTTGCCACTTTTCCCGATGGCAAGTTACCCCGAGGAATCATGTCTTCCTATACTTTGTATGTGCACAAATGGTTGGTTATATATTCCGACAGGTGTCCTCCACATCACCCCCCCCTCTATGCGCCACAAGTCCATCTGTGCTAAAGATGTGCTTTTGGCGTTCAGAGACATGAGTGGCTCATGGAGACGCATGCATCGGATATAACCTATATCCATTGTGCAACACCATCGACTACATCTGATTATCGTACAACGC